TTATATGCCGTCAGTGAATGGAGGCTCTTTTTTTGTTTTGTTTTGTTTTTTTTTTTTTGGATTTTGTCTGCCCCCTCTGAACAGCTGTTCAACCAAGGCTTTTCAGAGTACATGCTGAATAATTCAACAGAGGGGTCCCCACACGCTTACAGGTGCCAGAGGTGGGGGTCCACTGTCGAGGAATTAGCCCTCCTGACAGACGGCATGGGGAACCACACCTCCCACAGTATTCACTTTTATGATTTCTATTTTCTCAAAAGTAGCGAAGATTCAGTGCATTGCAGGTTTTTAGTAGGAGAAAGCGGGTGTGTTTGTTGGGGGGGGGGGTTGCTGGATGAAATAGGGGCCCCGTTCGGACAGTAGTTCCTGTAAACGGCTGTCCTGGGGCGGGTGTCCAACATCACAGTAGTCGTGGGGTGTTCTGCACTGGATGGGGATTGCAGACTAGTCCTTCAGTCTAACCACAGGCCAAAAAGCAGGGCCAGGAAAACAGCGCAGGGAAACACTCTGGCATGATTCTTTATTTCGTTTGATGTCTCAGATTTACGAAGAAAAAGAATCGGTAAACAACAGTTCGAGGCAAATTCGGGGATCGTTTGTGCATTCCTGCCAAGACAGAAGGGGAAAGAGAAATAGAGAACAAAAAGCTAATTTTTGTGTCTCGCACCGTGCCTCCATTGTGGAGGGCCAGGGCATCGCAGTATTCCATGCACCGCAATGCACGGGAATGCCTCTGCTGCAAGAAATGCGGCTCAGGTTGTTAGCTACCCAGCCGCCAGCAATATGGTATTACGTGTGTTTTCCCCGGGCCTGATAGCGCTTACCGGGAGCGTGTGGTGCCAAGGAAGACTTTTGCATTTGAAAGGTGTTGTTATCGTTGTCGCTTTATTTGCGTTTGTCGTATTCAATAACGCGTATACAAACCTGCACACCCGAGGTATCCCCGGGGCCAGCATGCACCCACACGCATGCAAGCGAGAGCATCTGCTAAGTTTTGATGTGCTTAAAGAACGTCGGTTTCGTTCTGCCATAAGCGATTTCATCGAGATGCGCTCGCAGCTGTGTTTGGAAAACGTTATTCCGCCAGTGGTTTTAGGTGCTCGTTAATTAACTTGTCGTTAAGTCTTAGGGCAAAGACAGGAAACAAAAAAGAAGCTTTATTTTTGTGTTAAAGGTGCACTGTTTGCTTTTCGCAGCCTTCCAATTGTTAGTTAGGTCTCTGGTGATGTGAGAAAGTGCGAGGCGGCGTGCGAGGTAGCGTGCGAGGTAGCGTGCAAGGCGGCATACGAGGCGGCGTGTGCACAGCTAATCAATCCGGGCGACTGTTTGAAGCGGCACAGGTGACATGAAAAATTGCCATTTCCGCTCAAAGACAGGAAGTGGGGAGGCAGATGAAGGGTGTTTTGTAACAATCCAAGTCAGTGGAAATAGCAAAATAATTCCTGCTGGGTAGAAGAGGGGGAGGGGGAACATTTAATCGGTGGGTGCGAACAAACAAATTAGCCGTGATTGTAGGGTTTTGGCACGTCGGCGTCACAGGTGAGTGAATCCTAAGCAGCACTGTTTGTAAATATTTCTTACTCTTGCCCTCACACGACTTCTCTATGAAGGCCCAAAGGTCCTCCTGGACAGCAGGGGGTGCTGTCCAGGTCAGCTTAACTGAGGAGGACTGATTTCACTCTCTGGAAGCACACAGTGACATTCCCAGGAGCATTTTGGTACAATACATGAAATAAGGCAATTGGCCTTTTTAGAATGGGTGGTTGTGCCAAAGGGTAATCCGGAATGACTATCCTTCCCATCAAACAGCATCATTTTCGATGGGCCTTACAGCCACCAACGTTACTATGTCTTTTAGAGTGTCAGTATCCACCTCTGTAGGGTTTGTACTGCTGTTCACACAATCAGTAGAAACTCAATCAAAATACGGCCTGACAGAAAGGTCCAGAAAAATCTAAGCAGACAGTAGCCATTCAAAGTGACACATCTTGAGTCAGCTTACAAGAGATACGGCTTTGTTCGCAAACGTTTTGGAAGTGTTTTGGAATATACCTTTAAAAAGTGGAGATACACACACAATTAAATGTATTCATTAACTGCACGTGGTTACTGCCAAAGTAAACCTGAAATTAAACTCAGGGGAAAGAGATTATAAGTTATATGATGCCACAAACATTCTGGTTCCCGGAGTTTGTATGAAACCGCTTACTGCGTCTGGCAGAGCTAAAAATGGCGAGTTAAACCCCATAAATCAGATTTCCCCGTGCTTGAGGTTCCGAACTGATTTTTTTTTTCACCGAAAAGTCTATAAAAGGAAATAGGAAAATACAGTATTTTAATATAGGTCTTAAACAAACTGCCAGGAATTTGCTGATTGGGATGAAATGTTTGTTCTGAAGTCATTTTCCGTTTTTATTTGTTGCGTTCTGCGCTACTCAGTCCTCGTTTTTGGGAGCGTTGTCTTCTCCATGCATCCATATAAAACGTGGTATTTTTTTGATGTCTTTAAAGATGCGTGTCTTCAGTTTATGTTAAATGAGTGCCAGTGGCCTTTGCTATTTGCAAGATTTATGGATTCCAAGGTTTTAAGAAAGTGTTAAGAGAAAGGCAGTTAATTACGGGTATGTGTTTATTTGGGTAACATACATCTACAGTGTATATTTCATAGACCAGTTCCTGCTGAGGACTGCAAAAGAAAGTAAAAATGAGAGAGGGTGAAAATAATCATTTATTGCCCCGAAGTAAAAGACTGTTTGTCTGCATTAGTTATAAATAGTAATGTGTTTCTGTTATCTTGCATGGGGAGAGAATTACGATGCAGTTTTCCCAGAGCCCTGTCTTAATGCTCCTGGACAAAAATGCCACACGTGTTCTTCTGCTAACAGCAGAAGTATTGAAAATCAATTAATGACTCGGGGAAAAAAAAAAAAAAGGGGCAGAAATAATGGGGGGGGGGGGTAGCTCCAGGAAGGGTACCAGGCTTCACAATAACAGGCTGGAGGAAGAATGGAGGTTCTAAAAGGTTTGGGAAGGGTGGAAGAAAAGGACAGAGCAAGGGAGAGAGAGAGAGGGGGGGGGGTTAGTGGGACAGGGAGGCTCCAGGTAGGATGGGCCTGGGGGGGGGAGGGGGCTTCAGAAAGAGGGCAGCCCACGCAAGTAAGAAAAAAAAGAACCCAACATGTCTTTGGGGGCTGTTTCTTGGAAAGAAACAAAGATGGCGGTAATTAATGACCCTGATTCGACGCCAGGCAGGCTTTCTTCTTACAGCTCCGACTTAATTAAAACTTAAGACATCTGAATGGGCCAGAGAGCAGCCGATGGAGCAAAGTCCCGCCCGCCGGCCCGTGAGAAAAGCGGCGCGGCTGAAAGGCGAGATGTGTGTCGCCACTGGTGCCGTGACTCTAATCCCTGACAGTCAAAGAATCTATTTATTCCGGAGCCTTTCCTTTGGTTGGCCTTGCACCTGCAGCTCTGCTGGCACTTCCCTCCCCGGTCCCGTTTTTGTGTGTGTGTGTGTGTGTGTGTGGGTGTGTGTGTGTGTGTGTGTCAGATCAGATAATGGAAGTCCGTCTTTGCTCCTTTGTTTTTCTTTATATATTTTTTTTATATATACACTTGTTGTTCATGGGTGCCCTTGGCCCGCCCCCAGGCATCCTGGGGTGGGGGGGTGCTGGGGTAGCGAGGCCTGGGGCCTGCAGACTCCATGCAGTGAAAGTTTGCGAGAGTGCCACGGGCCGCGGCAAATATAACTCAGAAGGGGCCGACATTGAAGCCCGTGATGCGAGTGGTGCACAGGGTGGGGGTGGAGGGGGGGGGATTTAGGAGACCCCGCTGTTCTTAACACATTAGAGGCACGGAGAACAATAAGCAGATCTGGACACTTTGGGACTGCAGCACAAGACTGAGGGGTTTTAACTAAACTTTTATCTTTTTCTCATTTATATATTCTTTGTTTCCTCGGCTTGCCCTGGGGGTCAGTGACAGGTACATCTTGAAAGGGCAGCTCTGTTTGTGTTGTGGAGGCAAGTGTTTTTAATCCCCCTAATAACTGATCCTTTGGGGCTATTAATGAGGACACAGTGAGGCGTTCAACTGCACTGTGATTGGTGTAAACAGTTACTAAATTAGCATATGTTTTGCCTAAAGTTGCCTCCCCCCCCAGACCTGGGCTTGGCACTAGATCGTTAGTCTGCTTCAGTTCATTAGTGGGCATGTCAGTACCTCAGACAAGGGTTACTTTTCCCCTTGACCCGGAACGGGCAGTTTTGTTTATATAAACACGCGCGTCCGCAAGCCCGCGATCTCACAGGCCATGTAAGTTTTGGGCCTCCTGCTCACGTGTGGGTACCTCCTTGACTTTTACTGTCACAGGTTTTTTTGTTGCATCTTCCTTTCTAGTTTTATTTCTTCTTCTGCTCCTTCTTGCGATGGATTTTAAATATGTTTAAGAGGATGTGTTTAATGCGGCGGCTGCCTCCCTGTGTGCTTTGTCTTAGGGATATCAGGTTCTGCTCTGGGAATTCTTGCCCGCTTTTTTCTCCTACCCTCAACACTGAGCTCTTTATACTTTCATCTGGTTCAGTAGGTTGATTCGCTTTTCCCCCGTGGATTAAGACTCAGACTCTCTGCATGTTAACTGTTAAAGTTTTCCAAACTTACAGAAGACCCCCCTTCCCCCGAAAGAATTTCGTTCATAGGCAAAAAAATATATATAATTAATTTTAAATAAAAAAAAAAAAATTAGGACCTGTTTAGACATTTATGGTTGTTTTAAGCGTCATTTATGACTGCGATAAAGTGTAAATAAATATGTTTGATGGTGAAAAGTACATTCCAGGTTTAAGGATATCCATTTCATTATGTACATATTTATTAGAATAGAATGCTTGTTTTATGCATATTCTCTTACTACACACTGTGTACTTTCTTATGAATCATCTAACTCCCCCCCAGATTCCTCTGAAAGTTCCTTATGAAATCTCCCCCCTCCCCCATTTCAGCACTTGCAGAAGCAGGACTGCACGCTGTCCGGAGACTCCTGCCATTACTACTGCACCCTCTGCGACTACTCCAGCAAGGCCAAACTGAACCTGGTGCAGCACCTGCGTTCCGTCAGGCACCAGCAGGCCGAGGGTCTGCGCAAGCTGCGCAGGCACCAGCAGGGACTTCCGGCCGACGAGGACGACCTGGCAGAGGTGTTCTTCGTCAAGGACTGCCCTCCCAACGAGGCCGGTGAGTCACTCGTGGGGCGGCGGGGGGTAAGTCACCCCCACCTACCCTGCCGGGCCGCCGTTCCGAACCCCGAGCGATGTAGAACACGTCGGCAAGCCTGATCTTCTCGAAACGAACACGCTGTTCCAATTAAAGGCCTCATTTTTTATATATATATATCGGTAACATGTGCAGCGCCGCTCTCTGTGACATCTTCAGCGGGCCTGCAGGAGGTTATGAAACTCTACCTTGGGAGGATCTCACAGTGAAATTCTTCCCCCTGGAGTGAGGTTTAATTTCCTTTCTCATGACCGAAGCAATTTGGCTTTCATTTAAAAGTTTCACCGCTGCCAGCAGCTAATGAGTATAACAGGGACTGTAAAACATTCAGAGACAAAAAAAAAGATTAATAGTTTTATTTGAGAGGAACCCGTAATATAAAACATAAGATGGAGTCAAGGTCCATTATATAATAATTCCTATGTTAATGCTACTTTGCAAAATGAGCGCTTAACTTGTTTTTGCTTTGGTTGACCTGACCGAGGGAGACGGCTAACACGTTTTGAATGGCATTCCAAAGCAGAATTAATCTGCGCTCCCCAAAGTGTCCTGTTTATATATGAAATCCAGAAACAGATGGTCGTGAGCTGAAAACCACATGCGAAACTTTTTTTTTTTTTTTTTTTCGGCATTCGGGGGCTGCCCAGCGCTGGAATTAAATGGGACGCCTGACCGTTTGGCTTTAATTACGACTGGATCAAAGGTGCCTTGGAGCTGGGTGCACGAGGGAAGGCTGGTTAGATAAATCATTACTGTGCATTTTAAAAGACACCCCCTCCCAACCCTAACCTACCCCCCAAACCAACCATCCTTCATCCCTGTTTCAACCCATATGGGCAGGGGAACCTAATGTTTTAAATCTGTCAAAACTAATGTCCACTCAGCACACCTTTTCATATGTTCCACTATTAAACTCCCCCCTTCTTTATACATATTTAGTTTCATGCCACAAGTGTTTCCAAGTAGAAGATGCAGGCAGGGCTTTCTCGGCCTTAAAGGGCAAATGTTCTTGCTACCTACTCGTTATTATAACTCTCCTTATTAATCCACAACTGTGAGCCTTGTGAAAATTCCTGGTCCTCATTGGCCTTTTTTAGGAGTGATTTGAATGTCGAGCGCAGGCACCTGAAACAAAACCTTTCCAGGTCCAGGTTCAGATTGGTAACTTCACGTCTCTGCTGGAATATTCCTCATTATTCACATGAAACCTTTATATGGAAACCGTGAAGTTATATGTGAGCTGTTACCTGGATTCATTTTATTATTATTCTTTTTTTTTATGGTAAAGGGAACTTCTTGTGCTCCGTGCACAATAAATTCAAGAAAAAAAACTTTATTTATATGGGAGGTGGGGAGAGCAAATGTGTTGATTACCCATAAACAGTCTGGACATGGTTTGGAGGGTAACTAATCAGAAAAAGCCCAGAACAGAATGCTAGAATGCTCAAAGCAAAGCTCATTTTTTTAATAGTTCCAACTGCTAGCAGGAGAGAGATTTTTCAGGTAGTTTAACCCAGTAATCGTTTTTGTTTGAAGGTCGTTCAAACAAGAAAAACAAAGGAGAAGAGTAGGAAATGCTTTAGCTGCCACTGCATTAATCGCAAAGCCTTATTTTCGTCAGTTTATTTCACGTAGGGGGTTGGGGGGAACGAGCTGTGAAGAATTAACAACAGCCAAAAGTGTGAGAGGGAGGTTGGCTTTGAACAGGGCAGGGATGAAGCTTCTCAGGCTCTGTGGTGGCACTCTGGAAATCTCATGCTCCTGTAAGTCTTGGCACCAGGGCCGGCATTAATGTCTCTCTGCCCGTAATAGAGATAATTTGTGTCCACGCTTTGGTGAAAGGTCCCGCTCTAAGCACTATCTCCGACTACGTGGAATTACAGCCGCACATTTAAGAATTTAGAGAGTGGGCTCCTCACTACAACTCCTTACTTCAGTGGTTTTTGTTCATTAGCGAGGTTTGTGGGGAGAGGAAGGGGGGGAAAAAAGGATTAATATAACTGCCGGCTTGTATCCTTCTTTTAAAAGCAGCACCCCGGCAACAGGCCAAATAATTACAGAACCATTTCGGAGTAGAGGTTATAATGAGTTTGCTATGATTTTATGCGCATGTGAATGGATTACATTAAACATTTCGAATTTCCATTTTGCCGCACCACAAAGGAAAAGACATTGTCAGGAATGAAATTGAATAAACGTGAACTGCTTATAATTGCAAATACTTGACGCAGAGCACAGGGCTTGTGTGTTGTGACCTCATGATCGGGATGCTGTTTTGTTTGTGCGTATTGTATGACAGATGCATTACAAATTGATTTTAGTGCATCTCCACCCCCCATATACATAATTTGTGTTGCATCCCCTGAAAATTTCAGATAAGGACAATTATCTTTAATTGGTTTTGTACTAGATAGATCCCTTGATTTCAAAGTGCACTTGACTTGTTTTCTAGAGACATGTTGCACACCCATGTCAAAATATGTTAATGAGAATTTTATGGATAAAAAAACATATAAGCATGACTATATTAGACCATATAAAACTGCATTTTCAAGGATTTAATTGAATGTAAATCAAGGCATAAATTCTGAGTGGAAGTTTTGCTTGTGGTTTGCTTGCACTATAAACACACGAGAAATTCAGAATAAATTATAACATTGTTTTCTCCCTACGTTTGATGTATAACGTGCTGCCCTGTGGGCTTCAAAGACAGAAATATCTCATGGAGTTTGTGATGCATCCAGCTGACATCGTCCAAATAATGTGTGAGGAGCCCCTAGGAAGCTCTAGGTCCAAAACACTCATATGGCCCAACAGCAGTGGCACCTTAATGAGATTCACACGCGTGCGCCTGCCGTCTGCATCGCCACACCCACTTTCTGAAGTCGGAGTTTCTGGAATGGGCAGCATTACAAAGAGAAATTATCCAACAAGACTAGAATGTTTTTTTCTCGCACATTTTAGAGGTGAAATCCCTTCATAAGAATGCCCTTGAGTGCCGCCCCCTCCCCACTCCCATCAAATCTTGCAGGGCAGCAGTAATCCCCGCAGCCCGAAAGGCCCAGAAGACTCATCATTAACAGAAGGTAAACATCATGAAGCCGAGAATTCAGAGAGCTTGGCAGGGGGGCCTCGTGAGGTCCAGTGTGTTTTTTTGGTAGTGAAGTCTCTGGTTGTAAGTCGCAGTGATTTGTGCCTTGTGTTTGTGGGGTTAGTGCAATCACACACAAGCCTTTTTAAAGGTTTATGGGTAAAAATGACTGACAAAACACCCCGAGTCATGGTGGGGCTCTGTTTCTGGGAGCTGTATGCCTCTCTCTCTCCCTCTGTCTCTCTCTCCCTCTCTCTCTCTCTCTCGCTCTCTCTGTGCCCAGCGAATGCTGCGTAACATCTTAATTACTTGAGAACTACAACAGTGTGTGTTGCGTTAAATGCCACCAGGCGTCAGTGTGTAAATTTTAAGCCTGGTACACCCGAGGCCAAAAACAAAATGTGCATCTATTTAACGCGCCCCCCCCAAAATGTCAAGCCATGTGCACGAGAAGGCCTGCAATTAATTGCTATGTTCAGTAACACACGCATATCCCATAATGCACTGCAGTAATATATGTACATCTTCACATACGCTGATTGGTGGCGGTGAGGACTGCGATGTGGCTCCACGTTTAAGGTGTGTTTGCCGTGGTGCGTTGGCAAGCCGGCGTTGCAGGCATTTGGTTTGATTCGCTACGTCCTTCTCGGCGTGATGCTGCACCATTTTCGCTCCCTCAGATTGGGGCCCAGTTGAGCTCAGCGTCATGTCATGACCTGAAATGCCCTGACTTGGCAGGCCCAAGCATTAACACTTCTAGTGTATTAAAGAAAAGGAGATGGGGGGCTCATTACGATGATTATTTCTGCAAACAGGCCCCCAATTGGGAGGGAGGGAGGGAAAGTAGCCCTTTGGCTCTGGAGGCCTTAAACGAAAACGCATATGAGTTTGAAGGTAAACGGGACCTTAGCACTACCTCTGGGTGCATTTTGGACTGATAGAGTCCCCAAAAGGTTTCTCAGCACTGACGAGTTTCAGGGCCACAGCGCCACACATTAGCATAGCGGCCGGGGGCCGAGAGCAGGCCTTAATGGAACCGCGCTGCCAGGTGGACAGTGTGGGGGCGAATCTGTGCCGGCCTCCCACCTCTTCCTCTAAAAGTGTTACCTTTTCACCCCCTCCAATTTCCCAGCCACCGCTAATGCTAGCACAAGCTTGAACATGGCAGAATGTGCCAGTCCGTTCACAGTCACCCACTTTTAGCAACTGAAAGCATCACTGTTTTTTTTTTTTTTCTTTTCTTTTTACGTTACCGTTACTGGAATCATGCATCTTTTTAAGAAACGTACCAGTGCGTATCCTATCACTGATATGCGCAAAAAGCCTTTGATGTATTATACTTAAATTTGCAGCAGTGCATATAAAAGAAATATACCTTAAAGGCTATAGATAGAATTAAAATGACGGCACATTACCTTTCATTGTGGCGTCTTCGTTATTACCCCTCTGGGCGTCTTTCTTTTCCCTATGTTTCTATCCATGATTATGCCCATTACACAGAGATTAAATGGCCTTTAATAAGAATATTCAAGCCCATTTAATACTGCGTCCCACAATTTCGAGGACAAGTCTCTTACCTTAAAGTGGCAAGGCAGTCAAGTGCGAGATTTGATACACACCGTAATGGCTTGTGAGATTTTTGTTACCCCCCCGGTGATGCTCTGGGACCCAGACAGCCATTTTCTTAGGGTCCCTCTTGTGGGTGGGGGGGGGCCACATGAATTCCCCCGTGATTTACACAACATCCATCTGCAGCTGCTTTCAGCACCTTAAAGGAACCTCTGTGTTTTTTTTTTTGCCTTGTATTATGGTATTTTTGTGAAGGTGGAAATGGAAGAGAGTTCCCTACCATGTCAGTCTGCACCTCTTT